TTTAGGGATAGGGCTGGGAGAAAAGGTTTTCACATGGTGAGGTGACTTCTTTTCTTTTCTTAAGGAGGGGTGGAACACAACCACTAGAAGGTCATTAGATAGGCAACACACTCCACTCAGAATAGAGCAACCATTTGTCCCCTTTTCTCTCTTACTTCTCCTGGGGACTACCAGGCATTGCATCAGGCTGTGTTGCATCTACCTATTATCCAGTACTCGCGCCGCCGAGTTGAAGTCGCGCACCCAAAACTAGTAATGATCGTTGGGCCAATAGAAATGGGGATGACATTAGGTATGAGGTACTGAATATAGGAGACTAAACTATGAGATGTAACAATGCCACCATAGATCACTGCTCAAGGAACCCCATCACTCTGCTCCCAACTGCTCTTATCCTTCGTTAATATGCCTTTTACACATTCAGGCATAGGAAGTGCTCCTCGAGTTCCTTTGCTAAAGCATGCTGCAATTTTAGCTCTAAATTAGCATGGAAATTTGTTCTTCACAAGCATAGAAACCAAGCTTGGAGTAAAGAAGAGGACTGCAATGGATATCATCCATCGTACCAAGGTAATATACTATAACATCTATTCATATTAGAACGATTAAGAACTGAATGTAATTCATAGGAGCACGCTTCAGATCCTACCAACTTTGATGATGTTTTAGCCTGTCTTGAAGATAATCATGGAGGAGGTAATCAACAAAGGTTTTCTGATGGATGCCCGGAGTCAATAGCACTACGGGATTTAAGTCAGAAAGATGAAGAACACTGGCTAATGCCATTTCCCGAAATTGCTAAAGAGCTTGAAATCGTTGCTGCACGATCGACCCTGGAGGAGGTTTTCCATACTCAACACCATATATTTCGACGCAAAGCTGTACACAAACCTACTCTCATGGCTGCCCATATTGAGTCACAGTTAGCCTTTACTCATATGGCTCTTCAAATAGCGGTAAATACAATTGTATTTACAGACGAGACCTGGATTGAATTTAATACACTGAGGCGGCAACGGAACATTTCATGTTATATTGGTATTGATTCCAATAGGTATGCCATTCACGATCGTGATCAGGAGAAAGCTCCTGTTACAGTTATGCTCTGGGGAGCTATAATGCTTAGTCAGAAGGGTCAATGCCATGTCTGGAAGTAAGACACAGAGGAGGAAAAAAATATATTTCAGCAGATAGTTCATGATGAGAACAGTTGGCGCTATGATCGACAACTTTATAACCAACAACAAGCCTATATTACTGGTACCTAGTGTAACGTGTTCGCAAGGTGCTAATCACATTATCGGTAATAGATACAATAGTTGGCAGGTGGCCTGCTCTTCCAGAGAAGAGGTGAGAGCTGAGAACTAAAGGAGGCTTCGAGGGTGTACTGGGGAACAAAGAAGTAACCGTTCAACCAAGTATATTGAAATACTGTCTGTCGAAGTCTGCCCTTTCTATCATAGAAACAGGCGGTCTTTTAAATACACAAATCTGTTCATGTCTTAACATGAACGAAACTAATCAAAGGTATCAATCGATACACTTTGGTAAAACTTCTTAAGTATCAAAGCGATACTTAAAATAAAACATAAAACAAAACCAAGTATCAAACGATACTTAAAACTAACCAAGTATCAAAGCGATACTTAAAACAAAACATAAAACAAAACCAAGTATCAAACGATACTTAAAACTAACCAAGTATCAAAGCGATACTTAAAACAAAACATAAAACAAAACCAAGTATCAAACGATACTTAAAACTAACCAAGTATCAAAGCGATACTTAAAACAAAACATAAAACAAAACCAAGTATCAAACGATACTTAAAACTAACTAAGTATCAAAGCAATACTTAAAACAAAACATAAAACAAAACCAAGTATCAAACGATACTTAAAACTAACCAAGTATCAAAGCAATACTTAAAACAAAACATAAAACAAAACCAAGTATCAAACGATACTTAAAACTAACCAAGTATCAAAGCAATACTTAAAACAAAACATAAAACAAAACCAAGTATCAAACGATACTTAAAACTAACCAAGTATTAAAGCGATACTTAAAACAAAACATAAAACAAAACCAATAACCAAGTACCCGTACCGGTTACACCTAGCAAGAGCGTTATCTCCAAGATATCAATACAGCAATTGAGTACAGGAATATTGAGGAGGGAAAAGCAGGAAGGCATAAGCGTAAACGATGCAATCCAGAGCAGCTATTTAAAGAAGAACAGTTTAAGTTTACAAGCAATGGCGGTATAAATTGGGTGTCATACCGAGAGCGGGTTCTATGTTCAAAGCTATATCCATGGATCGATGAGATACAGAAAACAACAGGAATGGCTTTAACTTACTTGGTTGAAAATAATGTGCCTGCACATCAAACATCACAGCGAGTTGATCGGGAAGAGTGACTTAGGAGAGGTATCATCATATTAGATTGGCCATCTAAATCGCCAGATTTGAACCAAATAGAACTTCTATAGGACTATGAAACAAAAAGGTGAGATATCAACTTGGAGGTTTGTTGGTACAAATCAAGAGACAGTGGAATCAGAGAAGGCTGCCTTGGTTAGATCGTGGGAGAATCTACCTCAGGCAGTTATTGATCAGAAATGTTTGTCCTTTCATACAAAGCTTCAGCAAGTTATTCTTCACCATGGAGGGAATAACTTCAATGGTTAGGAATATCAGATTACTTATAGGCATGCGGTTTGGCAGATATGCATTTAGGCAGATAGGAGGTTATTGGGTATGTGTTTTTATGATATGCGGTAACTGTAACTGGTACGGGTACTCAGTTATTGGTTTGTTTTAAGTATCGTTTGATACTTGGTTTTGTTTCATGTTTTGTTTTAAGTATCGCTTTGATACTTGGTTTTGCTTCATGTTTTGTTTTAAGTATCGCTTTGATACTTGGTTTGTTTTAAGTATCGTTTGATACTTGGTTTTGTTTTATGTTTTGTTTTAAGTATCGCTTTGATACTTGGTTTGTTTTAAGTATCGTTTGATACTTGGTTTTGTTTTATATTTTGTTTTAAGTATCGCTTTGATACTTGGTTTGTTTTATATTTTGTTTTAAGTATCGCTTTGATACTTGGTTTGTTTTAAAGTATCGTTTGATACTTGGTTTTGTTTTATGTTTTGTTTTAAGTATCGCTTTGATACTTAAGGAGTTTTACCAAAGTGTATCGATTAATACCTTTGATTAGTTTCGTTCATGCTAGACATGAACAGATTTGTGTATTTAAAGACCGCCTGTTTCTACGATATAAAAGGCAGACTTCGACAGACAGTATTTCAATATACTTGGTTGAACAGTTACTTCTTTGTTCCTCAGTACACCCTCGAAGCCTCCTTTAGTTCTCAGCTCTCGCCTCCTCTCCGGAAGAGCAGGCCACCTGCCAACTATCGTATCTATTACCGATAACCTGATTAGCACCTTGTGAACACGTTACAGTAACCAGGCATACAGTAGGAGAGTCTGTCATATCCTATGCTACTAGGTGTATGACATGGGCGGGGTCTTTCATTTTGTATTGTTCTCTTCATACCCTTTACCATTAGGTATATGGTAGTTCACATAGAGTATAGGCTTAGGAGATAGTGGTGGATTATCGTGAGATATTAGGATGGTTCTAGATTTTCCTTCCTTTCACACTCATCTCCGTATATCATCTATCGGGATTCCACCCTCACCACTTCATTCTTTCATACTTTCTTTAGGTTTTATCAAGGAAGACTATAAGAATAAAGGTTACCTTCCACTTGATGTATGGTTAAATGATCTAGTAGAATCATCGCAGTAGGCATCTTCCATCTATATGATGAAATGTGATGTTTTGATTGGCCCGGCGATCATTACTAGTTTTGGGTGCGCGAGATCAACTCGGCGGCGCGAGTAGAGGAGCACGACTTATTTGGGACAACCACCGAGGATTAGGCACGGTCACCACACCAACCGAAAAGTGGGAAGCGTAATTCCCGGCGCGACACCGGTATCTTGTCCACCGCATTTCCAAACCCGCCTTGTAGTCTACGGCACTCCGGACTGCTCACCCATCCATCCACCCACCGCTTACGGGGCTCTTGTACTGCGGATTATACACAAGGAGCAGTAATAATACCGACAGGTACGATACCGCACTGTACCGGTACTGTACTCGTATAGTAATTTTTGCTCGAGAAGTTACCATAGATGTTTGTACCGTCCTGGCAGCGATCCCTAGCGACGATAAAGCTCCAACTAGCCATCAATCCAACATTCCTTCGTTCCTCCCTTCTCCCATACCAACCCCTCAACCCAAACACAATCCCCCCCCATTGCAAATCACGTGACAAGCAATTTTCACTCCATCTCTGGGCGGGCACTCGGGTCTTTATATACCCCAGGATCGGTTACACAATGACATTTCAAACAGGACCGAGCCTGAAACATTTTCCGCAGGCTCGCTTTTTACGAGTGTGATTGGGTGAGGGTATGCGGGTTGATGGATTTGGAAGTGAAGTGCGGAAGGGGTGGGTGGGGGGAGGGGGTGATTGGGTTTATGCCTTTTTTTACCGGACAAGTGCGGTGTGCATCATACCGGCAGGAATAGGGTGGGCGTTGGAGGGAGGGGGGGATTGGTGGGTTTGGGGGATTGGGGATTGGGGAGTGTTTTTTTTTTTTTTGTTGGTGGGTGGGTGCGTGTGTGGAGTACTCGTATTATCATACGGTCTACTCGAGCACAGCAAGGCGAAGGAATGAGTGAGAGTGAGTGAGCGAGAGAGCGAGTGGGGTTGGTGTGCTTGTGTGTGTAGCGATACGGTTACGATATCTTGACGTACGAGTATGAGTACTCGAGTACCAGTTGTGTTTATCGTTATTGGATACCATTGGATAGTCTATGGTACGAGTACAGGTACGTATGATGGATGGAGCGGGGTTTTGGTGAGGGAGGAGAGAGTATCACAACGGATTCACGTACTGTACCGGTATTCTAATTGCTCCGTTAGAGTGCAGACTACTGTATTACCAGACACCTTCAACGCCATCTCCAAGCCGCCCGCACAAGATAGACAGACAGACTGACTGACAGACACGAACAAATCAACACCATACATACAGTTTACCCCGTCACAAAGCACCGTACGCCATGAAGCAAAGCAACTTTTATATCGAGTACCAACACCTTAACGGCCACAATCTTGGAATAAAGGTAGCGAGAAACTGGTTGCGAACAGGAGGAGGAGGAAGAAACAAGCATTGGATTATTAAGTTCGTTCCTTCTCATTTTTTTTTTTTTTTGAAAAAAAGTGCCTGAAATTGGAAATGGGTGAAAGAAAGGGAAAAGAAGGAAAAAAAAAGGCTCCCGTTTAACTTTAACTTTACTTTAACCAACTCCTCTGGAGAAGATGAAGGAAGAGGAGGAAAAATTCCCGTTTACTCGGTACAGAATACATTTGAAACAAATGAGGAGAGAAAAGACCACGCCATGCCTTGGACAGAGAGACTGAAAAGGAAAAACATGAGAAGGGAAGGAACAAAAAGGGAAGAGGAAAAAGAAACAAAGATTATGATTCTGAATGAAAAGCAACCGAAGCTTTCTTTCGGAGGCCAAAGAAACTAGACATGTGGCGAGCCTTGTTCTTCTCCTTCTCCTTCTCCTTCTTTTCCTTCTTCTCCTTCTCCTTCTTCCCCTTCTTCTTCTTGCTGTTCTCCTTCTTATCCCCCCTCTCCGTCTCCTGGGGGACTACTACCTCCTCCTTTGGCTCCACCGGTGATTCCCCCAGTTTTGCCGGTGCGACCGCTGGAACAGTTACCTTCGGTGACTCGACAGCCGACGGCACTTCGGTCCCGGATGGGGAATCATCCCCACTCTTCTCGTCATCCGACTTCTCATGGTTGACCCCGTTCGGGGTCAGGTCCCCCACCGGAAGTCCGGGTCCGGGTCCGGGTGTGACGGGAAACGGTGGTAGATCTGGAATCGCGCCATTCTCTTCATGCGTGCTGGTGCGATCCTTATCCTTGCCTCCTAGCCTCAAGGCTTGGCTGAGGCGGAGGCTGCGGCTAGTGCTCCTGAGCCTGTTTATGCCGCCCATGTGGTAGCCCTCTGGCTTGTCCTTCTTATCCCCCTTCTCCTTCTCCTTCTTCGACTTGACGCTGCTCGGGACGGGCGGGAACGGATGCTTCGCGGCGGTCTCAGCCGGATGCTGGTCGCTGATATTAATCGGTGTTTCAGACTTTGGCAACGGCGAAGAGCTTGAACTGTGTAAATTTGGTAGATGTTCCGCCACCGAGGAGGCCCTTACACTGTGCCCGTTGACTCCATTTGTATACCCTTTAGATTTCGCGGATTCCGTTTTCGCCGCCTCCGCCGCTGCTCTTGTGGCCACTCCCGCCGCTTGCTCATCCACCCACATCTCTCGCTGTACGGCCTCAAATGTGGTTTCCTGATAGAACAGAACGTAGGCGCATGCCATCCCTGGCCGCTCCCCGAAAAAGTTCCTTACGAACGCCTTGTCTACCGGTTCAACCAACTCATCGTCGAACAGCAGCCAACCCTTGTCCTCGGTCTTGACGATCGCAACGTAATGCCCATGGTACGGTCCACCACCGATATGCACAACAACAGCATACAGCTCGTATAGTCTGTCCGGGTCCTCAGCGTCGTCCGTCGTATTGAATAGCCTTAGATGGTATGGGTAAAGGACTCGGTAATGTAGCTTCTCGAATCGTCCTAGGTTCTCCATAAACTTGAAGCGCTTCAGATGTAGAGCAAGGACCTTCGGCAGCCGTTTGATTTTCATCCGTTTTTCGGCTTCCTGCAGCCCGCCGCAGCTGTCGCAATGGAATTTGTTACGTTCACATAGCATTTCCGAAGCGGAGAAATTCCGTAAACATGATGTCACGGATGAATTCTTCTCTAGGTCAATTGACAAATCAAGGAACTGCTCGTCTCGGCGTGAAACGTTCTCACAAGTGAGGCACTTGGTCTCCGAGGTTAGCAGACCTTCAAATAGTTCATGGATCCAGCCAGTGGGAGACGTAGAGGTAAGGGACGCGGTGGAGGCAGCCGACGAAGCGTTTACAGGTGTTAGTGTACCAGATGATTTGGCAGGGGTTGAATTGGTCACAATATTGCCGTTCTTGTAACCATGTTTTTTTTGATAGTCCTCCACATTCTCTATCACCTGATTGAGGACGTAATTCAGGAATTCGTGAGCATCCTGATGCTGCTGTCCACTGAACATGTCGTTCTCCCTCCTTAGAATATCTAAAAACCTATTTGGACTGACGACACCTGTGCGCGAATTGTGTGCCACGATGCTTTCAAAGATGTCCTTCAATGCCGAGAACAGCGACTCCTCCATCCCGTAACTTGCATGATTTCCCTGATCGACATTCAACACGGGCCCCGTTGCTAACGCGAGCTTCTTTTTCACCTCAGGGGTGTCCCTGTTCTCGTTAGGGCCAAAAGTTGGTCCTGGTGTTAGGGAAGCCGTGACCGGTATCCTTGGCCTTTTGGTCTCCTCTTTACTGGTGGGTGTTAACGATGGCTTTCGCGCAACTGGACCGGGGGGGGCGGATGATCCGGGTAGGGGATCTGTGCTAACTCGAGCGAGATTTCGACTATCCGATCCGGGCAGTAGAGTAGCATCGCTATTGCTCGAACTCGGTAGACTCGATCTGTTGGGAAAGTTGACGACGTTTTCTCGGAAAGGTTTTGAATAGTACAAACACTGTAGGATTGAATTACAGTAGCTGCGGCTGAAAGTCAGCTATCGCAATTCACATAGACAGACGTAGCAAGGAAAAAACAGTCTCCAAAGCTCAACAGTTAGCCTACCAAGTATTTCCAAACTGAGGCACGAGAAAATCGAGTCCAACATCAGCCAATGATTCTCACAAAGTACAATAATAAAAAAGTTAGGGCATACGCCAACTACATTCTCCATCCCAAAATACTTATCGCTGCCGTCCGGCCTGGGCGGGCCATCGCTTATCAAGGCCTGTAGTCCCGTTGGTGAGGGTTCGGCCTTCTGTTTCGTGGGAGATTGTATGGAAGGCTGGTGGTTATTCTGGGGTAAACATCGGTCGTGTCAGCACTCTATCTCAGCGCGCATCTTCTCCTTCTCTAAAGTGAGCCCCCCTCGCATCTCGCGGGCCGCCCCCAAGCCTCACCAAGACTTTTTTGGCACCCAGGCCCAGAACGCAGACGTGCAGAAGGGCAGCAAACTAGAAGGGGGTGGGGGGAGGGAGAGTCTGGCGGCGTTTTTTTGAAGAAAGATCGAACTCTAAAGAAGCCACAAGAAAACGGAAGAGACAGTTACTGACCGAGCGGTCCATCCATGATAGGTTCCTAAAGGAGCTCAACATCTCGAGCGACGAATGCTATCTCCGGAACAGGAGAAGGAGTAGATTCGGAGAGTAAAAAATCTTGATTTTCTTCTTATGGGACAATATACCTTTCCTTCTTTCCCGTGGTCGACGTGCGAATTGTCGAGGCTCTGCTTGTCGAGGTTTGGAACTGTGGGTGTAAGAGTTGAGAAGGGGGGAGGTCGGCAAGTTTAGGTCGTCGGTCTCTCGCACGGTTGCCAGGAACTTGGAAGGATCGGTGGAAGGTTTGGACGATGGGCCTTTCACAGGAGTGGCCGGCAGGGAGGCGAGAGGGGGAGTGGGGGCGGCAATCCAGCGGGCGAAGAATTTAGGAAGGTCGGAGAGACGGCGGATACTGACAGGTCAGCGGATGGAGAGGATTCAGCGAACAACAAATGGGAACTATCTCTTAAGAAAGACACTCCACTTGATTGACGTGGTATGATGGATGACGGTGATGGTACGAGAGAGACAAAAAAAGGGGGGCGTAGGATTTGGAGAGATATTAACGGCGATGATGGTGAAGATGGAGAAGTGATTACTGTATGAACCAATAATGATAAAGTAACGTGGAATATTGTGGATGGGAAAAAGCCGGTAGGGGTTAAAGGGAAGGAGAAGGAATACGGAGGAGGAGGAAAGATGGAGTGAAATGTATTAAAAGAGCACTGGTACCCTACGTCCGTAGTATGTTTAATACCCTATGATACCCTCTTGCCCGTACCCAAGTCTTCCTCGACCGGACGGGAGTGGATTTATCGGAGTTGACTTCGGGTGGCCGAACCGCAAAACCGTGGATATGATATCCCGAACGGTAAGCCCGGGCGGAGAAGTGGGAGAGAAATACCGGTATTCACTATTATATCATGCCAATTCACAAAAGTGTCCCCCATGCATTGGCCGTCAATTGACCTCTGTTGCCTCTCCGAGTTAGATTACCGGCACCATGATCGTGCTCTAAGGCACTGCGCACACTCCGTCTCAACACGGTACCATGCCTACAAAAACCATAAATTTAGTTCAATAGACAGTGAGCCTCTCTATCCAACAACAACGACAGCACTTCAACCGCACTGGAGCCTTGGGAACCAAGATCCTCTGCACTCTCGGGGCGGAGTTAAGAGGACAGGGATAGGCAGCACTGCAAAAGAACAGGAGAGAACGGTAGGAAAGAAAATAATGATAATACGGTATCATACCAAAAGGGCCCTACACACCAACATCCATTCCAAGCAGGCTATTCTTATTTTCAAAGTCATGGCTGTAATTCACTTCTTGGCGACATTTCAGATATCGGCGTGGGTATTGGATCACCCATCGCACGATTCACTGCACAACCACACCCAGTTCACATCAGCATACCCTATTCTCACTCACACGCACGCACATGGGTTCCAACTCAGTTGGCTTTCCCAACCACATGGAAACTATGCCTTTCGTCCTTCTTCCCTCTCCCTCTCCCCAGGGTTTAGGTTTCCATCCATCCACCATTCACATTTTCCGCCCAGCATTCCGGCACAACCAAGCAGGAACAGGCTAAACGTGGCAAACCCCCCACTAATTTTGCGGAGGATAACTCGCGTGGCGTTGGCAGGATGGAGGGACTTTTGGATCCCCGGTCGCGTCCACACCCCATGGAGTCCTTAGAGTACTCGTACTGGGAGGACGAGGGGATGATGTCTGGGTTAGAAAAGAAGAAGGAGAGGGGAAAAGTTGGGACGATGGGGTTGATGGTTTTCCTTTTGGGGCCATTAATAGGTGATCCTATCGATGTCAATTGGTTGAATTGGCACAAAGTTCGGGGGGAGACACATTGGGAGAGAGTTTCTCACTCCTTGCTCTTTGACCATCAGGGAAAACACTGGTAGGGCACGCGGTTTCATCCAGCAGTCTTCTTTCCTCGTGTTTACCAGCACTCTATCTACGATGCTCATGCCGGTAGAATACAAAGTGCTGACTGCCCCGATAACGTCTGCTGGGTGTCGCAGTACCTTCCGACTTCCTCCATCACCCTCCCCAAAACCGAAAAAAAAAAAGTAGATTTTTTCGTCTAGCGCCCTGGGTTTCCAGGGGTTAAAAACAAATGCAAGACTCTTTACTCGAGCAGACCTCAACCTCCCCAGCCCTGACATCTACCATATCATGACAGTTCCATTCTCTATCCTAGTGACGTAAATTCCTTGCTCTTTCCCTCTCCCCCAGAAAAATCCATCTTAACAAAGCGGCTCAATTTAGGTATTAGCCGACTGCCGACGCGGTGAGTGCCGGTAAGGTAAGAAAATCATCTTTTTTTCCTTTCTTTTTCTGAGCGCAGACGGCGACGAAAAACCGCTCAATAGGTGGTGGCTCTTTCCTTTCTTTTTCTGGCTCCCTCCTCGTGTTGCGGAATTTTTTGAAAAGACCCCCAGATTGGAATTAAAGCATCGGTGAGATAATCGGGATCGTGGCGGTGGTGGTGGGGGCACAGGAGCTCAGCCACATCATACTCAGTAGAGTACTGTGGTTTCTTCTTTCATACTGGTATTATACGATGCTAATTCCATTACCCGTCACAGCACTCAACCTCAGCACTGTGAAACATATAGGTAGGTGGCCTGCGGCCGATTATATGCGCTAACAACTTTTTGACGCTAACAAGTCTCTGTCCTGCATTTACAAACCCCCTTGAGCCACAGTTGTCACAAGGGAAGAACGATCCTCTCAAAATCTTACCTGAGTACTTGTAGTCTCTCAGACTGCCGTACGCCAGATGCAAATGGAATCGGAGCACGTAAGGTCTAACTGAACCGAATATGGGAGATTGCTATAAATCTTCCATTGCTGCTCCTTCCCGGTAGTTATGGCTCCACAAATCCCTAGCCAACACACACACCCGCCGCGGATAAAGCCGATCTCACTCGCTCCCTCAGTCATCTCCACCCTAAAGTGAGAAATGGAATGGATACTGTTGGGTTTGCTTGTGTTCCGTATTGTGGGGGTTTGAGAGAGGGGGGGAGGGAAGTGGAGGAGAAGAGCGGGGATCGTAGCTGGGCTCTTGATATCCTTTGGCTGCTAGAAAGCTGACGCTGAAAACGACAACCAGTGGAGAGCGTTACCGTGATGAAGATCCCTCAGACATTCTGATGGAAATCGTGGTGGGGAGTGCGATACCATACGATACAGTACTACTGTATGGCATCACACCTCCGCGCTACCTGGATACCTGACTAAAGCACGTACCGTACTCGTACCTCGGAGGATCAGGTGAAATCTGGCAGGTGGTACTATCTTCCTTCCTTCCTCGTTTAGTCCTATGCTTGCTAAGGGAATTTCCGCTTTTGCACCATGTGTATGTCGTATTTTGCAAGGCGCGCTTAATGCCATAGCCCACCCGACTCGTACGATGGGTTTGGGGGTTTTGAGAAAAAGTCAAATTCAAGCTTTAGTGCAATTCGTGAGGGTATTGTCAATGATGTATGGTAATAGCATTATGATAACTAACCTAGCCGGCACGCCAGTTGTTGCTTCAGCTCAATGCCATTCCCCACATATGCCTTCTTGGGGTGGTGGATAGATTGTAGCATTGTGCTGGCTGATAACAAGAAACTTGATTGAGCCCACCGGGACAAGAGTAACCGTTTCTCGTGCAACTCTAATCTTGTGAGGAAGCGCAACTTGAAGCACCACGTTGTGTTCCGACCTCACTAAGGTCGTTCAGCCCCGGGGTCGGAGGACGTTTTCCTGAGGCCAAGTTTCAAGTGCACCCACACACAAACATAGTGTTATCATACATATGATACATACACCAACCAAAGCCCTTCAACTCAAAAAAAAAAAAAAAAAAAAAAAAAGACTTGCATAAACGGTTTTTCAACCCCGAGCCGAATTCTTCCCTTTCCAGGCAGTTCCTGTCTCAAGTATGATATTCGCAATAGGAACAGGCATCCCAAGTGATCCGGGTATGGCATACACAACTAATGCCTCCACGGGTCACCAATTTTGTGGAAAATAGCTGTAATAAATCACAATCCGATCACTTTTTAAAAAACCACCGAGTTACTCACTCGTACCTGCCCATCCCAAGAGTGCCGTACCGTATCGAGAAATCCTGGAGCGGTTTAGGTTCAGGAAATGCCGAGGTTCCCGGATACGGTACTTTTGGAATCGGCAAGTAAGTTACCGGTACCGGTATGGTATTCCCCTCGGAGAAGCGAAGAAGAGAGCAGAGTACTCGTACTGGTACAGTAAGTCGCCGGCAGTTAAACTATCGAATACCTAGGGCAATTCCCTTTCCGGACGGCAGATCACTCACACCAATCAGGTATCGTAACCACCAATCGACCCTCCCCCTCCCCAAAACGTGCACTCACAGAGATGTGCGGTATGATACCAGCTCTACTCGAGTACCACCCCAGACTTAGGTACAGTACAGTACAGAAAGTCGGCGCCTGCATCTTCTGGATCCGACCTCGTGCGCAGTGCAATACTATCTAGGTCCGTCGACCCGGTAAACAAGACTGGACTCTGCTCGAGTAGTAATACTCGAGTGATAAGAACTTTCCAAACACTCCCGGCACAGTGGAGCACGTGACGCTCCATTATGTTTATTATTCAAGTACATTTCTTCCAGAGTCCTGAGAACCTGTCAACTCCACGTTAGTCAATTGAGTATTATTAGTGAGTGTAGACCAGTACTTCATTCTGCCCTATGGAGCAGACTCATTTCCACTCCTACCCCACCCTTGTTTCGCCGTGCTTAGAGAGAGGGGGGGGTAAGGTCAGGTTGTATCGTACAAACTTTAGCAATACGACATAAATATTTATTTTACTCCAAACCTAGTACTTTATACGAGGACACAGACTAACATTACCAGATATTAAGTCACCCTCTGCCTCCCCCTTTCCCCCTCCCGCTGGAAATCGAGAGCGGTATTCCGTACAGTTGATGGTCGAGATCCAAGCTGGGGACCAAGATTCTTCTTCATACCCTCTTGCACGCTGCGGGGCAGTTGATATGGAAAGGAAGAGTGAGAATAAATTAATTACTCACGTGCCCGCAAATCAACTCCATCATTCATCACAAGTTGTATGTTCTACCGAGCATGGCACAGTAGGCACTCGCTCGGCTGCCCGGTCACTCCGGAGCTGGGCCGCGGACCGACCTCACCCGGGTTGCCGGGGTTCGTGTCGGCGAGTGATCGTTTGTGAGGGATGGGAGCGGTGGGGAAAACCCACCCCATCTCGATTTTGCCGTATCATGGTTAGGTTTCCACACCCGCGACATTGGTATTGATATGACAGGACCAAGTCCGAGCACGACACAGCCAGTCTAAACCCCGGAGAAGGATACAAGCGATTGTATTCGAGGAGCACGGTGGTTTCCGCGAGCCCCACCGTTTGACCGGCTCACGAGTGCTTGTTTGCTTGCCGTTCGGGATTGTTAAATCTTGATGACTGTGAACATTCATCATGGTATGATACCGTACTTCTTGGCGGGACTGCGCTGGAAAAAAACAAACTGGTATCGTATGATATGATACTCGCTTGCCCCGTCCTATCCATACCTTACTGTACGCCATATACCCTAAACCCGGCGGGCAGGAAAAAGCCTCTACGCAAAAGTATCATAATAATATTATTATGATATTATTATCATAACCTGTCTATCCCGGGCGTGACCGCTCGAATGAAATGTCCGCCCATTTCCCTCGGTGGTAACCGGAGCTTCACACGTTTCAGCTTTAGTATCATAGCAGCTTTTTATTAATATTCATTTATCGGTGCTACGTACCTTGTACTTGTACCAAACGTGGCTCAAGGCTTGGTGGCACTTGTGCATCTTGCTGCCGGATATTCTCCATCGTGCGTGCCCTATTTTATCCGAGAGGAGGAGGGGGGGTGGGCAAGTGTTAAGGGTGTTGTCAGACCCGTGATGCCATGTATCCGCAATGGGATATTACGCAGACACATACCGGTATCGTGTGGTGAGCAGGACTTTTCGAGTGACCATTATATACTTGCCATGCGATAGGTGATACACTATCATTACCAACCGCGTTTTTCCCTCTCGCGGTCGTCGTCGTCGTCATCGTCGTCAGCGTAAGGCAAAAAAAAAAACGTGCGTAATCATTCTTTTTTGTCTTCCTCTCGCCCGGTTGGTGCGTGGGTGTAACACCAGCCCTCTCGTGTTCTGCACCCAGCCCTCGGAATTGGCATGGTCAACGCCGAGCGAGTGCTGAAACGTGACCGTCCTGCGTGACTCTGAAAACGTGAATCCTTCTCGAATCCATCGAGCCCGCCGGCATTCAAGGGACCTCAGCACAGAGCCAGGCGTGAAACCGTCTTATTTGCTGACCATGTAGATTTCAATATCCTCATCAGAGGTAAAGGTATTTATCCATCGCCCCTCAAGAATCAACGCTTCACGTACAGGTGTGGTAGATGGTAGGGGCTATGATATATTATGTTCATAATATACCATAAGTCTAGATTGTGGAGTGCGTAGTAAGGGAAAAGCCCTAATCACGGGTTGTCACTCATCTCTCCTTTCTTTTCCTTTCCTTTCCTTCATCCAGAAACTGGATTACCATATCAAGGGAAGAATTTGGAGTTACTCCTATGCCAAACTTTCGAATACACGCGCCCCTTCCAAACCATGTCACTCTGAGCAAACATACCCCTTCCCATCATTTGTGGAGTGTGTGTGTGTGTGCGCGCGCACTTTGCACGAGAAGGTGTAGTGGTCAGGTATCATTCACTACCGCTCATAAAATTCCCCTTCTCCGAGAATGTACCATATCTACCCTTGATATCATATATCCAATAAGCAATAAAAAACTGTCACCTTAAGCTCTGACTTTTCTTAAATAAACACAGAAAGAAAGAAAGAAAGAACCCACACTCCAAGTCCATCAGCGAGAGGATGAGAAGGTAGATACCAACCCTCCATGGGAGTATGATACCACGCATAAGCGGAACACCAATCCAGCATGATGGCCAAGGTATCATCAAATCAAGAACTAATAAATCCCAAGCATCGAGGCACGAAAGAAAATCCACAACGTAAAAATTTTATGTCCAGGGTATCGGGGGAACCCCAACCTACCAGTGCGAACCTGGAAAACCGAAGGCCCGGCGCTCCCGCTCGCACCCGCGATTAAATCCTGAGACAGGTGAATCAGTTTTCAGGGCATAAGATGCTCATAATCCCACTCGGGGGATAGCGCGTAAGTCGTGACGCCTGCGATGGGCGGGGTGCCGCCGGAACGAATAGAGGAAGAGGTCCTCCAGACTCCAGATTAGGCATCTGGGGCGCTATAGTATGATAAAGGCTCTCGGTGCAGCACGCCCACTTCGAAACCCTACCAAACATGCCTTTCCGCACTCCTTCACTGGCACCAGTGCAGGAACGATTGGAATAGGAATGGACTGGTTGGGGATATCTACGTTACCATTCCTAGCCTGGTATCCAGTGATGATTGTTGGTGGGAGCTACCGTTACCGTCCTCGGTACCGGGCATGTACTCGGGATGACAGGTTGGAGATGTTCGGTGTACCGGTAGGGATGGCCTTGCCTAGCCGTATTGTAGGGTTGGAAGGTATTTGGCGGCAAGTTAGAGTGGTTGAGATGGTGTAGAAGCAACCACCACAACAGTGTGCCGTAACAGACTTTATGCTTCACCGAGAATCACTCTAGGGGGTGAAGGGTCAAGTTTTAATGGTTTGTGATGGATAGCGGACATCCTGGTGATTACACCATGGTCTGTCACAACCCCCAAGAAGGGTCTTTAAATCCAGCATCTCCCCGCTCAACTCACCATCCACTGCAAAATCTAATAAGCGCGAAGCCTATTAGCAGCTCAACACACGTATGCACTACGCATCTGTCATGTCACCCTCAAAAAAAAAACCATAACACCCCAGCTATCCACCCCCCTTATCAGTTCTTCCATCCTCCATCCCTCTCCGAATAAACCTCATCAGAAAAGTAAAGAGAGGAAGCCTGCCAAAAACCCCCAATCCTCGCCCCCTCTTCCACAACCCTCCGGCTATCCCAAGCCAAACATACTATCTCTCGCCGCCACCACCTCGCCCCTTCAGCCACCAAAATGAGAAGCCAATTGGCAGACATCGACAGTCCGAGACTCTTCGCAGAGCTGGATCTACCCCCGGAGCAGATCCTCCATGGCTGCTGCCGGGGGTTTGAGCAGTGCGCCAAAATCAATGGAACGAGTTTGTGCATCGCTTCTTGTGTGTATGGTTTGCGCGTGGGTGCGCAGAATGTTGGGAGAGATGGCTAGCTGACTTGTGAATGCCATCGTTCGGAGCACTAGCGGAGGGAGAAGGAAGGGTGGGTTGTGGGTAGCAGTGGCAGTGGTAGCGCACTGGGCTTGTTGCATGAGTACGGGTTTCGTGACAGGGACAGGAGGAATGGGAGGGGTGTCATAGTATGGTAGGTGGTATGTACTCGTACAGTACGAGCAGTAGGATAGCGTAGCTTTTGCCGCCTGTAAGGTTAAGGTTTGTGAGTTTCGGATAATTGAGTGGCTAATATAGCATGCTCGAACAGGGTTCCGGATATCCTAATATAAAGCCCATAGTCTAGATCGAAGTGGATAAGGGATGTTTTTGGTTATCGGTGAACCCATACGCCCTATCGAAAAATTGGGTATACGAAGGTGCCCCTCTGGCAGATGTCGTCCACTAGACCGACAACGTGAGTAAACATTTGCCCGGAGAATTTCGGGAAGCGTGCGTGTACTGTACCTTATTATAAGCTTTCTGGTCAGGGGACTTGCAAGTAAGGCCAAAGGCGGGAGGTTCGAGCCTATAGACTATTTAAAGAATTCTTTTCTGTTACCCGTATTCTGGCGAGAGCGAAGTTCGCGATGACTTTGGCCGCAGGGCCGCCGAGGGATCTGTGCCGGCACCTCGAGTCCATTCTTGAGTATTGCAGCACCGGTAAGAATACTGCCACGGAGGAGGTGCCATGGAGGACGCGTATTCCAGATTCGTGTGGGCAATGTGTAAGCGACGGTCATCCGCACTGCGGTTAATATCCCTCTGGGGGCTAGTGAGGGCTGTTTGGCGTTAGTAGAATTCCTATGAACTGTTCTATCAGACGCCTTCCAAACTCCATCCCTAAAGGGGTAATAATGATGGGGATGGGGATATAAACACCCAGCCACCCAAGAGGATGATGGAGAGCAAAACTCACAAGTGCCAAAGCCCTTCCAACGAACCAAAATTTGCCTCTGATGGATGACAACCGGCAAGTAGTATCAGTTACCGAGTATCTCGGGTCTGCGAAAGCGGTATTGTAAACACACTTCCCAACATTACTCGAGTACCCCCACCGGTCACACCAGTCACACTTAGTCATCCACGAATTCCTGCACTGGGTTTCGCCGGCGCGCCGGGGCCAAGGGAAGTTTGCAACAGTCAACATGCCGTTCTACCGAAAGTATGCTCCTTGGCGAGTAAGCGGGTGAGAAAGAATGGCGCAAAGTCGTATCATACCCCTTGTCAGAATACTGCCCAACTCTTTTTTTTTCCCCCTCCCGATAGAGTTTTCAACTTAGGCCCTGTTCAGCAGGTATCATAGAGGTAAAATTTGTTGCGATAAAAGTTGAACATGACATATGTGCTAATGAAAACACCACTACAGTATTTATGTGCATGGGGAACACCGCCTCAAGAAAAGTTTCTCATCGCAAAAAGAACGTTGCATAAAGGACAGTTTTATGCCATAAAAGTGCCGTGCCGAGACAGGGCCTCAAATTATCTCCAATAGCTTTGCTGCCCGCTTCATCTAGTCTCTTTAGACTTCCCCCAGCTCGTAGCGGGGCCGGGGTCACATATTGTCACTCGGAATCGTTGATTCGTGCTATTCGTCTTGGAGATCAAGCAACAAACCGCAGAACACTTATGCCCTCCGATCCTCGAATGAATTTGTAAACGCGGGGTAATCGGAAAACACGCTAGGCGATGCTCCGTCTCCAATAGGGACTGTTCGATCTTGCTGCTGACTTCCTTGGGGTATCATAAATACGTTATAATGTTATATAACGTGGGTTTCCCAAGGCGTCCTAGATAGCGCAAGGCTGAAAGGAGGTTTGTGCTCTCTCAAAGATGTGATTCTCGTACGGTACGCTAGTCCACTATGCTACGGCGTTGTACGCCACACAGAAACCTGCACTTTAACCAGATGCAAGATATCCTGGGGATCAGGTATTGGTATGGTATATCGTCCTCAGCCTCCGCGGCGGGGAAGCCCCAACATGTGCCAGAATCATACCATATATCTGGGGAAAGGATTCGTTATTTTTCAGTAACTAGTGAGTTGGCAGTCGAGGCTCAAATAAAGTCTCAGATCTCTGGGGTCCTTGGGACAATTCTTTCTCGAAGTATTAGAAACAATGGTGAAATAGGTGCAGAAGGGCGGAAGGCTCCTTGGTGGACCACAAGCGCCAAAGCCCATGTGTTTAAAGTTCCGCCCGCGGGCCTCTGTCTTTGGTCAGGAATGATGAGGCAAGGCTGGTTTTAGTTGCGCATCTCCAGTTGTCATCAGCAATTGTGCAATTAAGTCCGTAGCCTATGCGATCAATTGGCGGCACTCAAACTCGAGTAGTGGGTTGATGTTTGCGAATATGACTGCTGCTGCATACCGCCAAACCTTGGCCTTTCTGCTCGGATGTTCACAAACGTGAGCCACCACGAGTAGAGAGACATGATGCCATCGGCAGGGATATCTAGCTGGTTGTGCTTTGAGACAAGGTCAACCCTCGCCCGGTTAAGGCTCTTCAGCTGGAAGCGGTTGGTTGGTGCGGTGGGGGTAGATGGAGAGTAATTGAGCAGCCTATCTCACAACTCCAGAGGCCGAGAGCAAATGGAACGGTGTAGAGCACGGTATCGGTACTGCACCAGAATGGCGTATTTCTTCCACTTTCACACAAGGGACTAAGTATTGGATTTAACCCTCCCCGGGGGATCCTGACAACACGATCAACGCGTCCTCTGCAGCTTAGAAAAACTTCCGAGTAATCGGTTCAAGTTAGTAGGCCTTTTGGGCCTTTGAACCCTTTGAGCAAAATTCCTCCGCCCACCGAGCTGCGGCTCAGGAGAATAGGGCGGGAGGCTAGATCTTTTTGTAGGAGCTAACTGCGATACCTTACACTCGGGGAGAGCGTTATTTAGATCGGTTGGCACAATTGTTCCTTAGCGATGATGGCCTAAGCAAGGCGTTGGGGTATCGTCATTACCACTACAAGCACTCGAGTACAACTTCGTATCCTAACGAAAGCGGATGATAACAACAAAGGCTTACCGGAGAACTGGTGCCCCTCCCTATACTTACTCGTAGACGGCGGAACCACGTTTCCCCGACTGCCACTATCATTCTGATACCGGTATGTCATCTGCAGAGACAATGCGCGGAGCCTCCTCACCATATTACCCACTCCTCCCCTTCATTTCTATTTTGATACAACTTGTACTGTACCACCACCGATCGTTAAAGTGCAAGGGGGAGTCACAAGTGGGTATGGACTGGACTGTTTGTACTGAATGAATTTGTCACACGGTGGAACCCTTTTCGGCCGTTTGGAGCGACATGATGCGGAAAGACAGCTGAAGGGTTGCTAGTCTTTGCCATTTTTCGTTGGATCTTTCAGGTTTTGATGTGGGAGAGTTGCGCTGATGCTTGCGCAGTGCCGGCGTCTCAGAACCTAGCCTCATGACGTTGACGGATAATTCAACCGTGACAACAGCGCACGCAACCAGAATTTTTCCAATCCTTCTGTAGGGTTTTCCTAACTGGTTACTGGAAGATATTTATCGAGCGATTCGCCTTCAAAGTTTGCATGGGAAGGACGACAGTGAGACTTGTGCGAGAAATAAAAAGGTTTTGGTCAAAGGACATCCTGATTAGATATACTTGTATCATAGTCTACGACAATACAAGTAATCAAGACCAGCATTTTCTATTCGACGCGAGTCTCGGGCGGGTTCTAAGGTGCCGGCACCGTGCAAGTGCTGCGCCGGAGTGCAATATTCTATCCCAAAGGGACCAGATGAGACGCAAATGCAAAGAGCACCGTAGCTCAAGTTATGAAGCGCCATTTAGGGTGCCACAAGGGGAAGACAGACTACAGCTGATCATGCCTTGGCGGAGAGCAGCAAGGGTGAACTTGGATGGCACAAGGGTTTTACGAGGATCGCGCGTCTAGCACACATTAAGGTTGAGAAGGGGGCTTGAAGGGATCCCTGTCAAGATTGATTCGCGAAGGCCACCGATCGTCAATTGTGATTCCGGTGGTGAAGTTACAAGTACGAGTAATTCTTCAATTTCACTAACGTTTACCAGCACCGTATCGGTACTCGAGTACGGTACTGTACGAGTACTGTACTCTGTTTAGCTCTGCCAAGCATCCATTTTCGAGGGCGGAATCCGTGGGAATATCAGGGCAAAATAAATGCTGGTTTGACGGCGGAAAACGTGGTCATTTGGCCGGAAGCAAGGACCCGAAAGAAAGGGAAAGAAGGAAAGGAAAGAAAACCGCGCGTTGGGTGAGAACCCAAGATCCGACAGATGGAGAAAGGGAGACCCTTCCCCTAAGATCTTTTTCTTTCTCCTCACCCTTTTTCACCCCCCCCTTCCTTACCGGCAGCCTTTCCGCTTTGAACGAGCCACTCTCCTTAATCGGATCCTTCCCGTGGGTTCGCATACTCGAGTACGGTACCGTACTCCCATACCATACATGTACTGTACGAGTACTGCGCCGTACTCGAGTACTCGAGTATTTGTGCTCACGCATTGTATGTCACATTTGTTGCCATCATCGACCTCCGGTAGTCTACTCTAGCTCTGCCCAAGTTGCCCCGCGGTTACTGTACGAGTATTGTACTCGAGTACTCGTACTTGTACTTGCACTCTACTAGTACTAGTACAGCATTATACTAGTGCACGAAAGCTCTGCCACAGGTAGATCCTACCCTATTTTACTCGTACATTAAATATCCAACCTCATACTTGTACCCAAATGAGACCACCCCCATACGGCACCGGCACACACAATCCAGGGTCTTCGAAACGACACTTGGAGTGCAAGTTACCGGTGATGAATTGGGATTTAGAGTACCGTACCGGTATGGTACAAGTATTTGTAGAGTCACAAGGAGACCTGCGGAACGATGGGGTTGAGTGTGATGCACGAGTGCTGTACTCGTACTTGTATCATACTCGAGCACACTCGAGGAGGTCAGTACCGGCAACCGCAGTAATATTGTAAATTTATCATACGGGTACCACTTGTTGTCTCCTCGCCCTTCCACAACGATTGGGCATCGCTTGCTTCTATCTAGGGCATCACCATGCCGGACGAACACGAGCAGCGGTACTGCACCAGCACCACCACTCCATAATAATATTCATTTTGGCTCCTCGTCATCACGCTTCTATCTTCTCGGACCTTACTGCTTCCTTACCCGGATCCCCTCCGCTCCCTCTCCGCAGGCCGCACAATACTGTATTGGTGGTCTGTATGTACTAGTACTGTGCGGGTGCAGTACCTTTGGAAGTTATTTCTCTCCTGCCATGATACCGGTATTCCTGCCCTTCCCAAAGCGATTGTAGTTGCTTGATCCGCTCTTTTCCTGGAGCGTCCTTTTCCCTGAAACATCTACAATGTAAAGAGGAATACGATCATATTGTGCGCGCCAATTTACCGGCCCTCCAAAAAGACTTGACATCGAAAAATCAAGCGTTCCCCGCGTAGCGCACACACACCCAGCCAGGCCCAGCCAGGCCCACGCAATTCTGCCACGGTCTAGTCTTGGTCTTGGTCTTGGTCTTGTCTCTCCCTTTTTTTTCCTAAGCCCACTCGGTTATCCTAGCAAAGGAAGTGGATGACTGTCTTGATTTTACCGCATTTGTCTTCTACTCCCTTCTTCTGTGGTGTTTCTCTCGCTCCTCGGCGGCGCTTGTGAATAGTACTTGTAGCTTCTTGCATGTCGTTGTCCTGCTCCGTGAGCTCTTTCCCTTGAACACCCCCCTCCCTGCCGCTCGTTCACCCTATCCTCCTCGAACACTCGTTGTCTTTCCTCATAGTCGCTCGCTTGCTCCGACACGGTGGAGTGTAGATGGTGAACGGAAAAACCGTGGGAAAATACCTACACTCATTCACCTCGACTCCTTGAGCACCACCAGACCGGGAAGTGTACTTCTGCCCCAGCCACCTCCACTTCGCCTTTGCATATTCGTCGAGCACCGGTAGCCCGAAGTGTTTGCAGTACCCTCCGTCAAATCCACAAAATCTGTCCCCCCACCTCCGACTCGTACGGGACCTCCTGGCCTCCGAGGTGTCAGAAAAGTTTCTCTTGTTCGGGGCTTGCTTGTGGAGAAGCATCGTTGCTTTTCTGATTTTCGGGAGGAAGAAGGAAGGGCTTGCCCAGTGCCAGGGAGCAACAGGCCAAGGATCTTAATTAGTGATTGGAGAGAGGTTCCGTATTTATTGTAGGGTCTGAGAGAAAGAATACCTGTGCCGCCACACAGCAGGCTTGCATATACGGGGCGGAAGGGGGTTCAAGAACCTGAAGGAAAAAAATAAACAAGAAAAAAAAACCTTGACGCATTTCAGCCTCAATTTCACTCTCGCTGGCTTCTACCGTGGGTTATTACGCTGCATTACACTTCAATCCCCCCAATTGCTATTATACCCAGACACCACTGCCTCTTGTGCCTCTTGAACCTGCACAATTTGGGCCGGTCATTGCGTCCTCTAGTCGGAACCCAAGGGGTCGAAGCTTGGGGCTCTCGTTCTAAAGAACACAACACTTTCCTTCGCCCTCCAGCAATTCATAATACTCTCGCTTTCCCGCATTTCAGCAAGAATATCAGTGGAAATTCTAGCGTGAGCTGCTCCTCTAAAATCATCCTTCACACCCCCTCCCCAGAAGCGGTAGCCGTCTGTGGGCACAAGGGAAAAGAGCTGTTGTTTTTCGGATTAAAAGCTGACCGGTTCCTCAAGCCGTTGAATTTCTAGCACTTTTTGCTGTCGAGACTGGCTTGCGTTTAGGGAGAAGCAAACCCCCGAGCAATTATTTCCGCCGGCATACGTCCCGCATTGGGTTGTAGTTTTCTCGATATCACTGGTTACCCAAACTTTCAGTGTTTTGGTGATACTGCGGTTTCGAACTCAACCCCCGAGTGGTCGAAACACCGAAGTACTGAACGCTCAGGCTTGGGGTTTTGGTCCTTGGAAAGAATTCGGAGAATAGGTATCATACACAATTCAGTTCCATTCATTAATTTTTTATTATTTCTTTGAGAAAGACCTGGAACGAGTCCTAATATTTGAGCAGCAAACATAGAATTCTTGGATCGTTAAATTGTCTCAAACAAAGGTCTGCGGATATAAGTAGCTTTGCCGCAATAACCGGTGGCGGGGAGACAAACGAGCATCTGCGAAACTAGTACGAACAGGAACCGCAATGACCACTGTAGCGCTAAATAACGCTTCCTATGATTCTGCCAGCGAGATGGTCGCTGCATCACCAGGCAGGGACAGCTACGGCCCACGAACGCCAACGTCCCCGGTATCTCCACGAAATTCTATTTCGGTGCGCCGTAGGAGTCTTCCGCCCTCCTCCCCCGTTCATCAAAGACAGAAAAGTCTCCAGTTGAATGGCATCAATGAACATGGCACTACGCAACCGAACCCCTACCCCTCGCCTGAGCATGCTCAGCACGACTGGCCCATGCAAGGGACCCCTCAACAGTACCAACAGAGATTCCCGGCCTTCCATGGACGTGTACAATCTGTACAGTCCTTAGAGTCTCGCGACCTCACAACTCCATCACCCGACCTCGTTCTTGACGCAAGAGAGGAAGAAGACCCGCCTGTGCAAGCACCTCTTTCCTCTCCTACCTTTACACACCACATCACGCATCAAGCCGGCCCAATACCTCAGCCCCAAATGGCAATAATATCCTCCGGAGAAAGCCACCGTTCGTCAAAGAGCTTGTCTAATTTTGGACATGAGGGTCCAGGGCGCGAATCTCCTACCAGCCGGGCCTCTTCAGGCGAAGAGGCCGGAATGTATCCACAACTCCAATACCACCACAACCAATTCTCCGAGAACGGAGCTTACCGGGAAAATAACGGAAGCGGGGCGCTCGGTGCTAGTGGAACAGGCCCGTATCCCAGGAGGAATTCGTCGTCATCACCAGCATCTTCCGATGGCCAACAACCCAGCGGAAGACATTTGGCTGCGCCGGGACCAAATTATCGGAGGAATCTTTCTAGGCCTTCTTCCACGTATTCGGCTTTGTCTGCTGACGGTCGCGGAAGGTCTCCCGGATCGTCACACCAGCGAGCTGTTAGTACACATTCCTACGACAGTCGGAGGTCCTCCTATACCGACTTGACACAGCCTGTACACATGCAAGCCCCACCACCCCCTATTGCTTCGTTCGACAATTCTCACCTGAGGGACAAAGTTGGTGCGAACGCCTCACTTCTCACAAACAAGCAGACCTTGGAGATGTACAGGGCAAATGCGAAGAAGTCACAAGATCCCTACTTGCAATACGAGTTGGCTGTATTTATGATACAAGCAGCTCAGAGTACTGGTGATGGGAGTGAGCCGGGGACACCATCTCCAAGGGTGTCTGGAAGTAAGAGTGACTTGAATAATCCATATGAGGCGAGTTCCAGTGCCTCCAAGAATGAGACCCTCCGAGAAGCTCGCCAGATCCTGGAACGGTTGTCCGGAAAACTCCCGCAAGCTCAATATTACCTTGCTGATGCTTACGCCTCTGGTCTTTTCAACAAAGGTAAAGAAGAAAACGAGAAGGCTTTCCCGTTATTTGTTGCGGCCTCGAAACACGGCCACGCAGAGGCTGGGTATAGGGCGGCTTTGTGCTATGAATTTGGTTGGGGTTGTCGGAAGGATCCCTTAAAGGCTGTTCAATTCTATCGTCAGTCGGCTAGCAAGAACCACCCTGGTGCCATGACTCGGCTAGGGATGGCCTGCCTGCGGTCGGATCTAGGTCTCCAAGGCCGCTACAGGGAGGGTGTCAAATGGTTGAAGCGGGCGACTGATGTAGCGGATGCTCAGTACCCGAATGCTCCCTACGAGCTAGGGTGTATGCATGAAACCGGATGTGGGGATGATGTCTTCCAAGATGAGAGTTACGCCGCGCAACTCTTTACTCAAGCTGCGGAGTTGGGGCACGCAGATGCCTACTATCGTATGGGCGATGCGTATGAGCACGGCAAACTGAACTGCCCGCGCGATGCAGCATTGAGTGTTCATTTTTACACAGGCGCTGCGCAGCGAGGTCATTCTATGGCTATGATGGCTCTCTGCGCTTGGTACCTTGTTGGCGCTGAGCCAGTGTTGGAAAAGAATGAGGACGAGGCCTATCAATGGGCTTTGAAGGCTTCTGAATATGGTTTGTTATCCTTGAGGTGTCGGTTGTGATTGTGGGTTAATGATTTCTTGCACAGGTCTTCCAAAAGCGGAGTACGCTGTCGGATATTTTACCGAGATGGGTATTGGGTGCCGGAGGGACCCATTGGAGGCTAACGTCTGGTATGTCAAGGCTGCGGGCCACGGTGACGAGCGTGCAATTGCCCGGTTAAAGGTCATCCAGGAAGCCGCTTCAGGCGGCTCACCCACGAAGAAGGACAGGAAGAAGAAGGAGAAGACCGGCAATAGGGCTGTTCTCGAAAAGAGCCGAGACGGTGAGGATAAGGACTGTATAATTATGTGAGGCAAGGCCTGAGGTTTCAACGGCTTTAGTTCACATTTGTATCTTTATTTCTCACTCTCCACTCCCCCTTTCCCTCTCTTGTTTAGTCTCACTCAACTTCTATCTAGTCCTGAAGATATCCTTTCTTCTATTTTCATACCCTTCTAATTGCTTTCTTGTTGGCTGATTTGCACATATTGCCTTTTGGTTTCCTCAATTTGCTTATGGGTGTTTTCTTTTCTTCACTTTTATATTTTCCATTTCCATTTGCTATCTGTTTTCACTGTTTCTATATCCATTTCCGATTCTTTCCTATGTGGCATCGTGGCATACATTCCTTGGACCCAGGAGCCGGACAAACTAAAAATACATTTGCTTTCCTTTAGCATCGGCAGCACTCTTCCATTTTCGCAACTCCATTTCTTTCCTATTATCACGCCATATAAGCATCGTAAGGTGCGCCATATAATCCTCCTTTCCTTTTTTTATTTTTCTTTTATTTTTCTTCAAAAAATATTTAGCGTCATCTACCCATTCCTTTACCAAAAAGTGAAATATGATTGCTTTTTTATGTTTTGCTATTTTCTTGCGCTTTACATGGGGATATTTGCACTTTGTGGGTTGGGAAGTGGGGAGAGGGGGAAGGAAGATAGGCGAAAGCCTAGGATTGGGGGGATGCCACACATATATCGGGCATTTTTTATATCTATCTAGTTTGTTGGGTGATTTATAGTTAGCTGGTAATGCGTAATAAAGGTGTCTGCTTTTGCAAAAAAGGAAAAATTAGCTATTGAACTCCATGGGTTATTATTCGCGCTAGGGCAGCTGGACTGTTCTGGGTCTTCGTCGGAGGTACAGTACAGTACTATGTACAGGTTGGGTGAATGTGTTGGTCGCTAATACTGTCTTTACTGGAATACCGGTATCTGAACTTTGTGCTAAGACGTCCAAAATTCCCTCTCTTGGGTACCGTGAGAATTCGAATAAACGGAATGTGCTACTGTACAGTACTCGTACAAATGTGCAACCTACCGGCAGTCCAGAATTTCCTTCGGGAAAAAAAAGGGCCGAAGAACAAGCCAAAAAAAGAGCTTTCCAAGACAAATAGAAAAAGAAATAAAAACACCAAACCTTACTGGGAGAGGTAACTCTAACGTCCTACCACGTGGCCCGATTATTCCAGTTCTTAGAGTACGAGTATTCTTACAGTACTGTAAAATCTCGTGAAATCTACTGTCTCCGTCAGCCCTGTAATCTCAGGATTCTGAGTCAAAAGCCCCCGGATTCAAATAAATATATTGTTTCCGGGCAGTACCTAAGCTCCTGGGAAGGATTAGCGCTTTCCCGACACAGTACTTGTGTGGTATCGTGTAAGATTCGGCGTTAATAGGTGTTGCATCTCATTAACTGGTATTCGCGATTGCGTTAACCTGTTGAACTAGACCTGTCCCGGGCACCGCGCCGTCAGAACTCGTCGAATCCACCATTGGATACCGTATCTCAACGGAAAACCACAATAGGATCGGTTTAACAAAATAATGAATACTCGCTGATGAGATCCGCCAAGCTCTGCCTCCCGAAGATGTCTCTGGTACCGTATTGTACTAGTACAAGTACTCAGTCTGGAAGACCCCGTTCATTGAGGGGGTGCTTTTGTCTCTGGTCGGGGAGACCCGAGACATTGTCTAAGATGCAAAAAAAAAATCACTTGCTGAAACTGACCGTCTTAGCCTTAGCTTACAGTAAGACAGGGGAAGTGAAGTGGAAAGGGTGCGGCAATTTATCATCGCACAAGTGCCAGCAATGGCAAGTCCAACGCGCTTTTCTTGAAGTTTAGTTATTCCAGCAAATACTGCACCTGTACGAGTCCCGCACTCGAGTATGGTTCGAGCGGTTTCAAAACCTGCACTAGGATGAGAGACAAAAATGTGTTGTTCTCATATGATACATGTCGCCGTGGAAATTTGGATGCCCAGACGGGATTTTTAGGGGTATCATAAGAAATTTTGAACAAAAGGGGGTTCCGGTGATGGGTGTTGGTCGTAATGGATTAGGCAGAGAGTTGGAGGAGGTGGTAGCTTCTTCCATTGGTGCAAAGGTAACCTCTACATTCATAGGATAGGTTTCCAGGTACATATTATTTAGTAAGAAATCGGTTTATTATTGCTTGGAACCCTTCTGTCTAAGTATGGGTCACATGAGTACGGGAAACAAACTGTGAGAGTGTGGCCAATATAACATTTTTTGACCTTTTATGCCAAAAATCCAATTCTATTGCCTCCACAGCCCCTACAGTGATCCAACCCCCACCTGAGAGCTATCCTCCTCTCCCTTCTCTTTATTGGGGGTGTTTTTTTCTTTCTTTCTTCCTCTCCGCTGGGTTTGGTTGTTGTGAAGCCTATCGAATTTAAAAAATCATGAAGTTTCCGCGTGCAGGTTTTGAACCACGTTACCGTACAAGTATTGGTACCGTAGTAGTAGTACACTATGGATTTATTGCCGGATAGCCAGGTAGAATAGCTGTTGAAAACTTGAAAAATTCGTGTCTTGCGCATTGCTGGTCCAGTGGTAGGATAATTGCCTTCCAAGCAATTGGCAGGGGTTCGATTCCCTTGCAATGCAGTTTTGGTTATTCTTTTTCTTCCCCCAGGCCCATCCACCCATCCTAGATGGGATATGACACCAGTATTGCACAGTGAGGCTCTCATATTATGATAAATAGAACCTATCCTCCACCCAAAGTCAAAGTTTGTACCCCTAAACAATTGAAGGATTATATTAAATTTTAACGAGAATGGGGAACCCTCCTCCACCCGGGAAATCCGGGCGTACTAAACTACTACCGGTATTAGCATTCGAGAGAAGCCTGAAAAAATAATTTCTCTGATATCACAATTTCGTAGTGGATCCCTCTACGAGTAGAAGCTTCCAACGGCTTTTTCTTTTTAAGATCAGCGACCGGAGTCATGTTGCGGCGGGCCACCGGTATTCGATAAAGATGCAACATTTGTTCCAACTTTGACCATGATAAGGACTTTCACTATGACGTTAGGTGGGGGCAAAAGCAATGGTGCAAGCGGTGTGGAGGGGAATTGTGTAACAACCTCCACTTCGGTTTTTTTGTTTTTAATTTGCGGAGGGCAGTCAACCACACTCTTTTGGAGCTGAGAACCAATGAATTCGGTATGATGTTTGCAAGCCACTCTGTGGCCGGCGGCTTACGCGTCCCTCCCTATCGCTTCCGTCGCTATAAGTCACTTGAGCTCTAATCTGTCACTCAAACAACCACACCTGAGGGGACCGTACTATACTCGAATACCTTTTCAAGAAGACGGCATTCCAACCTGGAAATTTTGGATCAACTTGGCCGCAAGGGCAGGTTTACTCGAGCAGATTGCCCGGAGCCATACCGGAATTCATTCTGCGCGCGGCCTTGGATTATGATGATGCGTCAGTAATAGCAGTGGGATTTCCTCGAGACGGGGGGTATATTACCACCCCTGGTTACAGTACCGCCTAGGGACGTGCTAGGGATATATCGTAGCGCTTTTGCCCGGAGGGGGGGGGGGCTTCACGACATAAACTGGGTATTTATACCGGGTCGGGATGTCATGTCCTCGGGCTTGCCAGTAGGAAGGCGTTTTTTTCATTGGACACATACCGACCATGATATCGTGCTGGCGGCGGAAATACCGGTATGGTATCCTTTTTTTCGCATGGATGGAGGCACGAGCTATTCGGAAATGTGCTAATTGGTTGCCGATCTGTGGGGATTACAGGACTCTTATCAAGGATATACCACTGGGAAGTTTCTTGTTCAAGATTGGTCGTCTGTGGCTTGCGGTTTCTTATAATAAGTCGGGTTTGGGCTGGGGGAGGGGGGGGTTGTCCAATTGCATTTCTTGTCGTTTGCTTAAAGTGTGGCGATTTGGGGTTTTTTTCGCTCTCGTTGGCTTGGTTGTCATTACTCGAGTAGGCAGCTCCCCCATGTGGCTTTTACGAAAATATGATACCGGTACTCGACGGGCACTCATGTTGCCGGATTGAACTTGCCCCTCTTTTTGTGCGTCATCGCTTGAAAGACTTGACTTCGACCTGTGGGCATGAGGATAGTTTACCGGGAAATTAGGTGTCCTTTGGAGTACCGGTATTCGAGCGCTGGAATAATTAATTGGTACTCGTCACTGGCTAGAAGTACCCGAAAACAAGGGGGGTATATCTTGTATGAGCTCTCATACGCACAGATATTTTACCGTGATATTATATTTTTTAGTCCCTGTTTTCGGGTAGTTATGAGACGTGTATACATGTCCACCATTGCGCTGTGCGGAAGGTCTGGGGTAGTGTCCGCTGGGTGGCGATTTTGTATTCGAGTATGATAGGGCATGTGGTGTGTGGGGTATAATGTGTCATAAGTGGTTGTGGTTTATATTTGGGCAGTATGGTCTATTGGGAGAGGGGGTGGGGTAAGATGAGACGGGAAGGTTAAAGTGGGGGAGGGGTGGTGTACCGGTAGTCGAGCACATAATTGGCGGGGGAATGTTGAAGTCCCTGACAGGTTGGAGCGGGGGATCGAGGTAGGTATAAGGGTAGATCATGAATTCATGGTACGAGTACCGGTACAGTACAGTACGAGTACTGTACAGAGCAGGGATCAGAGGTTCGATGGCAATGATAGTGCTTGCAAGATGGGTACCAAAACCTTGTCTAAGTAAGAGCTATAGAACTCAGTGGAGCTAGAACTAAAGAACCGGATATATCCTGATGGTGGCTAACAGCAGTTTCTGATTTTATTTTATTCCTTTTACCTTTCTCATCACTCATTCATGGGTTGAAACACATGCATTTCCAATGTTCCAAAATTACCTCTGCAAATGAGGATGACCACCCCTGCTCCGTACCATGAATTCACGATCTACCCTTGTATATAGGTACCGGTAGGCATTGTAGATATTAGCTGGGGGACGTTGAATATACGTGAGTACTAGTGGGTAAGCTAGTTTGGAGTGTTTCCCTGGGTGATTGGATTATCCGGGTGGTGTTTTTTATTTCTTCCTTTCCCGAGATAAGTTTTTGGTTGTCCTACAGGCATCCATCCATCCATCCGTCCAATTGTGGCTCTTCGGAGTTGGCTGCTGCGATATTTTCATTGCTTGGGCGTGAGTTAGTGCTGTCAGGGGTTTGCGACGGAGCAGAGATTTAGCCTAAGGGTTCGGGCCAGGAAGATGCCTACCCTTCGGCAATAGCTCTTTCAGATTCCCCATCGGTATGTACTACTATTAAATTTTTATATCAAAAGTGATAGCCTACAGGCTTGTGTTCTAGAAACCATTCATTCTGTTAGAGCGCGTTTCGCTGGCGGAGAGAGTGCCGAGGGTTCTGGATGGGAAGGCTCGGAGTGCCGCCGTTCTATATTACCGACAGCATCACGATGGGAACGATTTAGTTAGTTCCGCAATTGAAGAGGAAGGAATGTTTGTGTGTCGAGAATGAAACTGGAGATTGGCGTATCGTGGGCTTGGGTATTGCGTTATCACGTATAATTATGCTGGGATATACGCTGAATAGCATTGCACGGTATTGGGCGCGTTGCGGAAGGGGATGTATTCCCTCTCCTGTAGGTACGGTCGTGGAAGCGTGAGCTATAGATGCTGTGCCAGATCTGTTCTGTTGACTTCTGGGAGGGCTGGAAGGAGGATGGGGGAAGTGTATGATATGTCGGGGAGCTTGGCGTGGAGGGTGGGAGCGGTGAGCTTGGAAGGTTCACGTGGGCCCCGGCCCCCCGGGTATGATAGTGTGGCTGTTTGTCAAGTGGGACTATGGATGGATGGATCCTGTTTTCAGTCATAGAAATGGGGTGTGTGGCTTGAAGCTTGATACTGTAGGTGAGGTGGGGTTGTAACTTTCTTCGAGTGAGGAGTTGTGATTTCCCACCTTAATCATATGTTTGGGCTTTGCCATATTATGCACTACCCCACTTGAGCACGCACTGCAGTCCCCGACGCCCGCAATAAAGATCTTCCAGTGAGGGCAGTGGGAACTGACACCAAAGTTTTACGATACTGCAGTTAGAGGTTGGACCCTCAGAATCACCGAGAGTACCTGAGCACCATAAAAGTATGCTAGGGTGTTGTACAGTACTCGAGTAGTTGCCTCCCCTGGCAGGGGCACTTGCGCGGTATATTCCTTTTGTCTTGTTACAACTGAGGGCTGAGTTGGGGTGTCGTGTGTCACCCACTCGTAGTGGGGAAGGGGAACCCCAACCTCCTCCTACTGTATGATAGCACATTTATCTCGCGTTCGAGTTCTCGCGGTGCATCGCCACAGCAAAAATCGGGCCAAACACGTTTGGAGAAAGCTAGGAGGGCAATATCGGGAATGGTTGAATGTTTGCAAGGGATAAATGCCCGCAGCGTTTGAAAGAGTGTTTTGGCCATTTTATTGACAAAATATAGAGGGAATGTACTCTATTTTGAGCGTGGTAAGTGCGCTCGGAGCGAGTACTAGTCATCATTGGCGATGCGATGCGGTTTTGTCTTCCCGCTTGAGTAGAAAGTTTTTTTCTTTCTTCTTTTCCTTTTGTTTCGTTTTTGGAATTAAGGACATATTCTATAGTGAGAGCTGCATACATGTCTTTGTACAATAAATTAAAAACACAAAAACACATAGCATTTAGAGAAAGAAAATACTCAATAGACGATTCTCTCTTCAGGGCACTGGGAAAACAATTATTCCAGACTCGCAGATCCATTCTATACACAATAGGAACAGGTAGAGAAATGCACATGATAGTCAAATCCCGTAATGGAATAAACCGGTGATGGTGGGTAAACAATTGAAAAATATTTCTTTCGTATAATAATGGATTTATAAAGTGTTCCTTATTTATGTTCTTGAATATGGGAGGTTTATATGATAAGCGCTATGTGTGTATAGGGGTGGGGGGGGGGGGGTTCAAAGGAAGGATTAAATACTATATTATTATGGGTGTAGGTTCTGTGGGAATTATCTATTTATTTCTATGGTGTCCCCCTCTGCCACATATTATTCTGTGGGGATAGATTTAAAAAAGCTTATCATACCGTATATGGTGTCATTATTTATGGGAAGCAGTTCCAAAAAAAACCACGGCTGTATGGTGTTGTACAATGCTATGGTGCTAGAGGACCGACTCTCTAAAAAAAACACGGTGTCCGCCATACAAAAAAAAAGGGATAGATGAAGGCATAGCACTGAAAGGATTTCATGATTTCTTGTTAGCCGACTATTAGAATACCAAAGCACCATCAATTGTAGCCACAATATTATGGTGGTCCTATGATGTATGACAAATTCTGAGCCCGAAGTGGGCTAGGTGCTGTTTCTTACAATTACCATTATCACATAGTAAGTTATATGATTGTGCTTCGGCCAATTATTATCACAGCACCGCAGAAAGTAATTCTCAGTGCTCTCCAGGTGCAGTGAAGTTGGTTGACCAACTTTGGAGGCTTCAATCAGGGCTAATATTTCTAAATTTAGCTATCGTAGCAAAATGAGCGCCACGGCATACACCCGAGAGCTATCTACTTGTATCATAACCGCCTAACTTATCCCGTAGTACATTCATCCTTGAAAGTATGATACTAGCATAAGCCGAGGAGTCGACCGAAGACACGGTAACCCCAACTCAAAAAAACAGAAAAACACTTGAGGTCAATTTTAAGTATTAAATTGCCTGGTGGGGGTGCTTTAGAATTATTTTCTTACCAAGGGTTTGAGCGGTTCAAAAGGTGCACCAGTCACATAATATTCCAAATTCTATATAGCCCCCGCAACCATCCAACTAATTTTAAGAAAAAACCCCGGGTGCTATTCTTCCTTTCTCTTCTTCTTTGGATTGGTTGGGTGGTTGCAGAGCATGGAATTTGAAATATTAAGTTACAGGCACCTTTTGAACCGCTCGAACTATATTTAAATGTTACCTTAGTTTCCGGCATTTTATTTACTGCAAAAATCTCTGTAGCAATCACGAAGAAGCCAGGATAATCACAAGATATCGCTGAGATGGGGCTTCCTTACTACGGGTAATTTTTGCTTGCGTATATTGTGGCTATCGCCTCCCTACTTCTGTGAGTCGTCGTCAGCAGGAAGGGGCAGAGGAAACGCCAAGCCGGATTACTTGGGCATTTGGATGACTAAGCAGCCGTTTTAAGTTCAACCTGCTGGGCCGGGGTGAGCGACCCGAAAGACCATCAAAGTCCCCCCCTCTATCTCTTCCGCTACACCACTTGACTTCATTTCCACAACTTCGCGACGTGCTGAGGCCTTTTACCCCGGCGGCTACACATCTCTTGCTCCCCTTCGGTCGAGAACAAATCTGCTTTAAGCTGCGAGAGGCCAAGCCCCTCTACCCCCTCAATCAAAGTCCATGGTAGGTAGATGATTCTAACGGTTTTCGAACCAACTTACTAATTGACTGAGTTTAATAGGCACCTACAAAACGTGCGGGCCGAAAGGCGAAGAACAAGGATGCTCCTACATCGAGCGGCGGACAACCCAGGGTTAAGAAGGCCGTATTCGAAACAACAAAGAAAAAGGAAGTCGGCGTAACTGATCTCACGCTAATATCCAAGATATCCAATGAAGCTATCAATGAAAATCTAAAGAAGCGATTCGAGAACCGCGAGATTTATGTTTGTATTCGGTAGTCTTGGAGCCATGGAGCTGTGCTGATAGGGGCATCTAGACATATATCGGTCATGTGCTTATCTCTGTGAATCCTTTCCGGGATCTCGGAATCTACACCGACCTGGTCCTAGCGAGCTACAGAGGGAAGAATCGGCTGGAGGTTCCACCGCATGTTTTTGCTGTCGCGGAGAGCGCCTATTATAATATGAATGGGTACAAGGAGAACCAATGTATCATCATTAGGTATGTGAAGCTCTTGGGATGAGATTTTTTCCGGGAGGTGGTAGGGAGTCGGCTTAGCGCATACGATACGGGGAAAGCAAATAGAACGAGTGATGCTGAGCTAGGGGAGGAAACCTGTACGAATGCTGATCAATCTGTATAGTGGTGAATCGGGAGCTGGAAAGACCGAAGCCGCCAAACGAATAATGCAGTATATCGCCGCGGCATCATCAACATCTTCGACGACGATCCAAGAAATCAAAGATATGGTTTTAGCTACCAATCCTCTTCTCGAGTCATTTGGGTGCGCGAAAACGTTAAGAAACAATAATTCTAGTCGCCACGGAAAGTACTTGGAAATTCAATTCAATAGCCAAGGGGAACCTGTCGGTGCGAATATCACAAACTATCTTCTTGAGAAGACAAGGGTTGTTGAGCAAATTAGAGATGAGAGGAATTTCCACATCTTCTACCAGTTTACGAAGGCCGCAAGCCAAAATTATAGGGGTGAGGGCTAATTTCTGTTTGCGAAGATATGGTGGAGCTTACTGATATTGGGGTAAAAAAAAATAGAAACATTTGGACTGCAAACACCGGATACATACCTCTATACTTCCAAATCAAAGTGCCTCGATGTTCCAGGAATTGATGATGTCGCCGAGTTCCAAGATACTCTGAGTGCCATGCGGGTCATTGGGTTGTCTCAGGGGGAACAAGATCAGATATTCCGAATGTTAGCTGCGATTTTATGGCTAGGGAATATCCAATTTGTTGAAGATGAGCAAGGGAATGGGGCGATCAGTGATTCGAGTGTGACTGACTTTGTCGCATATTTACTCGAAGTTGACGGTGCTGCTGTGCACAAGGCTCTTACGCTAAGAATGATTGAGACTTCCCGTGGCGGCCGGCGGGGATCAGTGTACGAAGTTCCTCTCAACCCAACCCAGGCTACCGCTGTTCGGGATGCCCTTGGGAAGGCAATTTACCAGAACTTGTTCGAGTGGATCGTTGATCGCGTAAACATCTCCATGAAGACTCGGGGAGCTATTGCACACACAATAGGAATTCTCGATATCTACGGATTCGAAATTTTTGAGAATAATTCCTTCGAGCAGATCTGTATTAATTACGTCAACGAGAAACTGCAACAGATCTTCATTCAGCTCACTCTCCGAACCGAGCAGGAAGAGTATGCACGGGAGCAAATCACATGGACGCCGATTAAGTATTTTGACAATAGGATCGTGTGCGATTTGATTGAGGAGAAGAGACCCCCTGGGGTGTTTGCTGCTCTCAACGATGCCTGTGCAACGGCTCACGCTGATTCAGGCGCCGCTGATGGAACTTTTGTTCAAAGACTCAATATGTTAGCCTCGAACCCACACTTTGAGAATCGCCAAGGGCAATTCCTCGTTAAGCATTATGCCGGAGATGTCATGTACACAGTTGCTGGGATGACGGATAAGAACAAGGATCAATTGTTAAAGGATCTTCTGGATTTAGTGGGGCAGAGTGGGAATGCATTCTTGAGAACACTGTTTCCGAACCAAGTGGATAGAGATTCGAAGAGGCGTCCTCCGACAGCCAGCGACAAGATCAAGGCATCGGCTAATGATCTTGTCACTACCTTAATGAAGGCTCAGCCCAGCTATATCCGAACAATCAAGCCGAATCAGAACAAGAGCCCCACAGAGTATGATGTGCCTGCAGTATTACATCAAATTAAGTATCTAGGATTGCAGGAGAACGTTCGCATTCGAAGAGCAGGATTTGCGTATCGCCAGACCTTTGAAAAGTTTATTGAGCGATTTTATCTTTTATCGCCTAAAACTTCCTATGCTGGTGACTATACTTGGACTGGAGACGCACGCACGGGTACCCTTCAGATTCTGAAAGATACAAGTATCCCGAAAGAGGAATATCAGATGGGTGTCTCCAAGGCATTCATTAAGACACCTGAGACATTGTTTGCGCTGGAAACGATGAGGGATAGGTATTGGCATAACATGGCAATTAGAATCCAGCGTGCTTGGAGGAATTACTTGAGATACCGAGCGGAGTGCGCAACCAGGATTCAGAGGGCTTGGAGAAAGAAGAGAGGTGGGGAGGAATTTTTGAAGATCAGAGATCAGGGGCACAAGCTACTTGGGGGAAGGAAAGAAAGGAGGAGAATGAGTTTATTGGGTAGCCGTAGGTTTATGGGAGATTATCTGGGCGTAGCGAACGTAGGGAGTCGACTAGAGCCCATTCGTGCGCCTGCGGGAATTGGGCTAGGGGAAAAAGTTTTGTTTAGCTGCAGGTCTAAGGTCTTGGTATCCAAATTAGGGCGAAGCAGCAAGCCGAGTCCTAGAATACTAGTTATGGTGAGTTATCTGCATTGCGCCCTTGCCGCGATGAGTAAATGCTGACAGTCTGATGTGTTAGACCAACAAAGCAATATATATCGTGATTCAAGCTATGGCCAACGGTCAAGTCGCGATATCTTCCGAGAGGACCATGCCGCTCGGGTCCATCAAGTTTGTTAGCATGTCTAGCCTCCGAGATGATTGGTTTTCTCTTGGAGTTGGTTCTCCTCAGCAACCGGATACGCTCGTTTCCTGCGTCTTCAAAACAGAGCTCGTAACACATCTACGGGCGGCTATGCCTGGTGGGCTCGATTTGAGGATTGGGCCAGTCATTGAATACGCCAAAAAACCTGGAAAGATGGCGGCTGTTAAGGTCGTTAAAGACCTTGCTATCCCAAGAGACGATCTTTACAAGAGCTCCACTATTCATGTGGGGCCCGGGGAGCCACCAAACAGTATTTCAAGACCGACCCCTAAAGGGAAACCTGTTGCTGCCAGGCCAGTAACTTCCGGCAAACTTCTGAAGCCCGGCGGGCCGAGGGGTGGGCCAGCAAGAAATAAAAATCCAGTAATGGCTGAAAGGCCGGTCCCGCAACCTGTCCCGCAGCCTGTTCCACGCCCGACACCTCAGCCAAGCATGACTCCAGCTCCAAACGCAAACGCCAGTGCATTACTCCCTGTCCCTCCAAAATCAGTTGTGCCGGAGGGTCGGGCAGTCCCTCAAAATCTTATTGCGGCTTTGAATACTCATTCCCGCAATTCTTCCACTGGTTCAGCGAGCCGTATTCCCCCGCCGGCACCGCCTGCGCCTCCAGCTGCGCCTCCCCGCGTTGCTGACCCTACCTGTCGGGCTCTGTACGACTTCGCGGGCCAAACTGAAAACGAGCTCTCACTTTCGAAAGATGAAGTAGTTATAATTATTCGTAAGGAGGCGAATGGGTGGTGGCTTACTAAGAAAATGAATTCTACTGAACAAGGTTGGGCACCGTCGGCATACCTTGAAGAAGAGGCTGCTCCTCCCCCTACCCCACCGCCACCACCTGTTGCCCCTGCTCGACCGGCAAATGGGGCGGCTAGACCAGCAGGTAGGAAACCGGCACCACCAGCCCCTCCGGCAAAGAGGCCAACTGTTGGGAGAAAGCCTGCAACGGTGGAGAACAGAAGCAGTGTCGCGGGTAGTACTAGTAGTAGTAGTAGTGGGGCCGGAAGCTCTACGACAAGCTTTGCACCTGGTTTAGCACAGGCCGTAAGTTTACCCAACAATTTCTGTCGCGCAAATACTAACATATGGTTCGTTAGTTACTAGATAGACAGCAAGCCATGAGAGGAGGGAGGAAGGATGAGTCTGACGATTGGTAGATTTTCTTGAATAAACTATTTTTCGCGTTCCTCTCTTGCTTTGAAGTTTTGTAGTGAGCAGTTGCACCAAATTTCACAACACCCCGGTTATTTTTTTCTTGGTTCCATTTTCATTTCCCATTTTCCTTTTCTCCGCCACAATAAATAGAAGAGAGTCGGCTTTTGTTATACGGGTAGTGTAGACTTGGGGTCGTGTTTTTATACTATACTTTTTTTCTTCGTTCTTGACCCCATCCACCCAGTTCTTCATCGGCTCGGTGCCGAGAGGGAGGGGGGAGGGGGGCATTTTCTGTGTTTCTATTGCCGATAATTATGTATTTCGTTCAGAGCTATGGTTTGAGAGAGGAGAAACTGTTCTGGAACGTTGGTTGTCAGTGTGCTTCGTTACTATATCGGTGAGTGATTCGAGCAATGCAGCGGCCCGTTAAAACTTAATAGGTGTGACCGATGTTATATCTTATATCCCACTTACAATGGGTCCAAATCTAGCCTTATGAATTCTTGGGTTTTGGTGGATTTGGGTTTGGGTTTTGCTATCACTCTGAATTAAGATTACACGATGTTACCAACCTCGGATGAACTAATGACATATGGCTATTACCTACCGCGTGCTATCTATACACAGGTCACAAATAACGTGTAGCTCAGGTCCGTCATGACACTTGGCAGTCTCGGCGAGGCATTCGTAAAACTCGGCGGCCCTGGGGTTGGTTTTGAGTTTCGGGGTCTTATCAAAGGCTTGATCTTAGACCGGGGTAGTATATACTCGGCTGAGAAGCGGGAGGGCAAAGAATTGTGGCCAGCCTGAGTGCCAGGTTTGGTGATACACCTACGATTGGGGTTTACAAGTATATCTCGACTTGATACCACGGTACCCCAACCAACACTGTAATGGCTGTTGTTGGGTCTTGTCGCTATATGGTTTGGCAAAAGTAATAAATTCCTCCGCGAGGGTTTGTCTATTTTGGGAACTGTAATAGACTGTATTTTCTCTCTCTGGGGGTAAATAATGAGTGGCGCAGCGGCATAATGGGCGGAATAGTTTGCGATTTGGGAGCTGGGTTGTAGTAGTAGGGAAGATAGGAAAGGTATGATATGGTCTTGGACTCCGTTCTCTTGCCCTCAAACCAAACCAACGGTAAAGAAAGTAGTATGATATGTACTCACAAGGTACGGCAAAGTCCCCCTGATCCCTCTATGGATCTCCTCACACATCTATTGGCCTTCACGCATGTCTCCCTTCCTTCGCACACTCCCGTAGTAATAAAGGAAGATCATATCTAGAAGTCCTCTTTGCGAGCCACGATACCTCCTGAGAAATACACCACACTCCTAAACAACCCACAACGCTCTAATTGATTCTGCGATCAGCTACAACGCACTAGCTTCCTTCCCCAACTCTAACATTCCCCAAATGAGAATCGTTTCTCTATGCTTCCGCTCTCATCCTTGGCGTGTTTGTGAGCTCGGTATTTTGTATTTCCAGATCTCTAAGTGCTTCGATATGTCAGGCCCGCTGCTATTTACACTTTGCGGTGGTCAGTATTCCAACCCCCACCAATCTAACCCCGCCTCTCCAAATATCTTGTCACCCTCTTCCCCGAATATACTTATTCTGCCCCACTACCCTCCAGGCTCTGCCGGCGAGTTAGGCCCAGGTGATATCACACTTTTGGCCAATGGTAATAACCATCCACCGCAAGAGCAAGGCCTCGGCCAGCTCCGAAAAAAACCCCAACTGCAAGGACATAAATTCGTCCATCCCGCGGGGGTCCAACAGCCACGCGACAGTGCAACATGCTATGGGCCAATAACTTCCCGCTGGTTATCCCTTAGGTGCGGCAGCAAGGTGGCCCATTTAGCTCATCGGGGAGGTGTGAGGATCGCCCGGATGCAGCGGGGGTAGTTCGGGTAGGCTTCTTGGGACTACTCATGGAGCGCACTTGGCTCGGCGGTTTTTGGGAGTGCTCTAGTGAGGGTTATGAGCAGTCGTATTTCTGCCGCAGGTCGTAGCGGTCGTGCGCAGTGGTTAGAGTGCGAAGCGCGGGAGTGATGGATTTTCGACCGCTGAGTTAGGGTCGATATACGCCTTATAGCGCTAATGGAGGCGCTGGGCGTGGAGGTGGGGGTGGATCTACTCTGGCCTCCGGCATTGTCATTGGTGCTGGGCTTGCTTGGAGAAGCCCTGAGGGTATTTGGGATGGACGCTACAACATTTGCAGGGTGGTTTTCGCTTGCTTACAAGTAGTTGGGATGCCGGCATTGCTAATTCTGGGAAAGGTCTCTTCAGAGATATGGATTTAATACCTTCTTACTCAACATTTAGGAATGGAATATATGGTTCCCTACATCCCCTATGTTTCCGTCGGACATATCGTGAAAAGAAGTGAAGTATCGTTTCGCAGTATACGGAGCCACATTCCCTCCCCTAAGGAATTAACAGTAAAAAAATATCTCTCCGATCTGAGCATGAGCTCTCCAGAATAGCCACGATATGCCACCACCTAGTGATGGGCTAGATCATGATCGAGTAGATCTAGGGATTCTGCTTGAGTATGATCTGATCGAGGGGACCTCATGATCGAATGATCGATCAAATTGGTAGACCCTAATTGAGCGTGCCCACTGACCGAGTATAGTCGATTATGCTCGAGTCTAGCCAGCCACGGTCAACTTTTCTTCACCATCATGGTATGCTAATAGCACACGGAAAACCCTAACGCTCAACCAATTTAAAACTCAAGTTGGTTTCGGCAATCATCACAACCATCAATATTCTGTACTCCTTTATACAGAAGAACCAACTAGGTACCTGATGACCCCCCGCTACCTGTGTGAGTATGAATGGACTCGGTTCGGGTCACTTCTGTATTGCAGGGTCAGCTGTTTGTCTTTAGTTAACCGACAGTATCCTTATGGTCGCACTCTGGAGGCAATAGCCTTCAACGACGTGTTCGGAAGTGGGCAGGAAGTGCAGATGTTGTGGGATATTCTGAAGCGTATGGGTACAAACTATGACGCCTGGCATGTCGTAGGAGACTATGAGAGTGAGGACATTTTATGCAAGAGAAGTGGGAGGTAAAGCATGTTAAAGAATCAATAGTAGAGTGTATTATCGAGGCTATGTTATTGAGTGTGCGGTATAGAGTGTTTATATAAATAGGTGATATCACATGATTACCAAGATGGATATATGATAGGTATCATGTCAATGGACATCCAAGCAGGCCCTCAGAATCCTAGCTTTCAGATACTTTTTACCATGGACGTGTAAGCTAAATGAGAGTTTAGGGTTTTGTGCTTACATAAGTACTGATTCTTGGTTTGACAGTTCGGGTATGATACGTTTTCTATTTGCTCTTTGGATCCTGTCTTCCTTGCGTCTCCATCCCCTGTTAGAATGACACCGCTATCCAGCCATGACAAACAACCAAACATGGCACTAGTGGACCACTCTACAATGTGCAATACTTTCGTCTATACTTCCGACAATTGTGATGCCCTAATTGGAGGTCTCAGGGCCTCACCCGTATCACTAATGCCAATTTCCGTTACATGTTGGAGATTATCAGTGTATTTAGGGACATGAGCGGGTTACACGATGATAAGGGAAAGCTTGTTGGAAGAGATGAAGAACAGTGTCAACCAGGTGATTGATATATTGCCACTAATGGTAGGTCCCTTCTATAATTCTATCATGCGCAGCTACTCACTCCAAACAGGTTCCATCACCCTCACCAAGGGAGTCCGACTATTACATACTACGTTAATGCAGTTCAGAACCCACACTGTATCGTTCCCTGAAGCAGTGCATTGCCAAGACATGGGTGCAATTTAACTCGCAGGCCCAATATGCTAGTAGGAGATGGACAAGCTTGTAAGCTGACCATATATTTCCGTTGGTATATGAGGAGCACTGCGATTATTATGGTTATGGTAATTTGATCACCATTCCGCTAGACTGTAAGTATGACGGATTGATTAACTTTGTCTAAAATGGGATCTGCTTCTCCAGCGATATGTACGATTTTTTCTTTGATAACTATCTTGTGGCAATTTATCCCAATGTATAGAAGGTGAAACATTGAGGTTATCATGGCTAATATTTGTGTAGGAAAACTACAAGAATGTCTGCTACGGACCAGAACCCCTTCACTATAACCTTACCACACGACTTGATCTGCCGTCACGCGAGAATATAGGTTAGCTGTCCAATGAACTTCTGCACTGGCATTTTCGCCCGGCAATCCTTACTAATTTGTAAGGAGGTGGGGAATTTTGTTTTGAGACTGATTTCCAGGCTGGTGCCGACATGATAGTTGAGATTATGAATGGTCCAAAGGCTATAGCGAGAATGGAGGCTGAGCTATTTTCAGTCCCCTTAATGCAATTGTGAGTTTTGGTTGAACCAAAGTTAGGATACCATGTGACGTGTACTGAAGGAACCAGGATATTAAGTTTTTATAAGAAATTCGAGGTTTAGCACCGATTCCCATTGAGAAATTCTGCCAAAATCCAGGCAAGTGGTGAGATGTGATGTTAAACAATACTGGAATTGAAATCCTGGTATCTTCCGGCGCTTATCTACGGGGCCTTGTCATTACCTACAGGCCCCGGCTGTCACCTACAGGGCCTGGCCATTACCTGCTGGGCCCGGCCGTCATCTGCTGTCACCCGCAGAAACCTAGTACATCCCGCCCCCTGGGAAACCTGCTGGGCCCCCCATCTGTCCAAGGCAGTGGCCTAGACGTACACCAAAATGCCTGTCCGTCCCGGGCATCCATTCATGCGCTGCCGTCAACCTGGTCCGCACCCAGGGACGGACGGACTGGACGCTTGAGTTCACGGGGATGGGTACAAATTGCTGGAAGTCAACTTGTTTGATCGCTTTGTCCTCAAAAACTGCGCCATACCCATATCTACATTTCAAGAACCACCAAGTATTGCTTTCCCTCATTCATCCACAGTCAAGGTGGCCTAACTCGCCAACAGGTGGACATTCTGTTGACCGCGTAGACCCACTTGGTGATTTCGAGGAACTGTTTGTTGATATATAACCAGTATATCGAGAATTGCCGACCTGTATTGAAGAAGGAACGGTTGACATGGAAACACAGGTTTCTGGCTACAAACTCGAAGTCGATGTGGTCGGGTAACGAAGAATTGCGTTCGTTAACCTGCTCTTCCAGCCCTTGGACGCGTCATCAGGGAGGACTGGGGATGGATACAAATTGCTTGAAGTCAGCTTGTTTGCTCACTTTCCCCTCGAACACTGCACCATACCCCTATCTACATTTTTAAAACCACCAAGCATTACTTCCCTTCATTCCACAATTCACCAATGTTTTCGATTTTTCTCTCCACACCCAGTGTTTCCAACTGTCCGGGGC